TATAGGGTGCAAATTAGTGTTTTTTAAAATTGATCATCGAGATGAAGAGAGCTTGTGTGCAAAATTTTCGATCATACAAATACCACAAACATGGTTTTCTAGAAGTGTAGTTGCATTATACTATAATGCAACCATTGCATTAGATCAACTACCCTTTATCTAGAGTTATCAACCCCTTCAAATACAAAAGTTAATGTTATAATGAGTTGTAATGGCTGTATTTATCAAAAAATAATTACTTTTTGTTTCAAAAAGTATTTTATTATGTAACGCAAGAGATTATTTGTATAAAGACCATTTACCTTTTGTACAAGCAGATCACAGCTATTCCCACCCATTAGATGTCAAATTGGATGGCTCGAAGTGAATCACGAAGTCCAATATTTATTTATTTCTTAATCGTGTCTAATAAATGTCGCTCTTACACCACAATTTTGAAATCTAAATGACAAGAAAGATTGTGACCTCCTTGTACAAAAGGTGAATGGTCTCTTTGTAAATAATCTCGTAACTTCATAATTAAGTAAAGGCACATCAAGGCTAATTGTCATGAGCTGAAAATAAAATTGGGAACCTGAATAATAACAATGCTCAAAATAATAATAATCAAAATAAAAGAAATGACTTAATTTGTGTAGTCTTAAAATCATTGGTTGTTGACCATGACCTGAGAAGTTGATGCATTGACTCAACCTCTGCTCAACATGTTTCAAGAATCAATGATGGATTCACAGAGTTGAGAGAGATCAGAGCCAGTAACTAGCGATTTTGCATTGGGAATAACACCTATTGTGATGTACTTGGTATCAATACTTACAAGGTGTGTTTCCGCGAGCAATGAATCTCGTATTTACTGATACTTTATATGTGCCTAATATGGGGTGCAATTTGTTTCTATTCCCAGGCTAGCTAAGAAGAGTTATAAAACCAGGTCGGGCAATCTCACCGTTGGTAAATATTATTGAGCATTGGTGTATAGTACTAACGTTGACAATTTGTCAATTTATACCGATTGAATATTAATGAAAATTCCTCTTAGTGTAGTTTCATAGATGTTTCCTTTGATGCTTATATTTGTGTGGAAAAGTTGTTTTCCTAACATGTGAGCCATGTATTTCTTGTAAATTGAATAAGAATTATTTTTCTAAAGGAAAAAAGTATAATGAACTTCTTAATATTGTACATTCTGATATATGTGGATATTTAAATGCAAAAATACATAAATGTATGGAATATTTCATAATATTTATATATAATTATTCTTGTTATGGATATGTATATTTAATTAAAAAACCATATGCATCAAAAACATTTAAGACAAGTTTGTTTTTCTAAAAAATATCTTCTAAAAAGTAGAATGTTTTGTTTTGAAAGGTTTAAATAAATTATAAATACTATATTTGATAACTTGTTGGAATGTTAAGAAAGTTTTCTCCCCTACTGTGTTTAATTATCTGCTGAAATGTTGAATAAGTTATGAGTAGTTGTATTTGATTCACCCTAGAACTTTTGAACTATAAACCTGGCAACCCAGTTTGAACCGTTTATTCATTTTTTAAGTGATATAAGGATGCTTTATGAAGGAAATTTATGACATTCTTAATCTCTTAATTGCATCCCAAAGTTGATATTATTATTATTATTACTATTATTATCAACTTTATTTCATATTTTGATATATCACCATTAACAAAAGAGTTAATATTGTTTTTCAATAATGTCTCAAAACTTATAATTGCAAACCAAGTCACTAGTTTCCTAATCCACCAACTTAAAATTGTAAACCAAGTCACTAGTTTCCTAATCCACCAACTTAAAATTGAAATCAATATATTTTCCTGACCATTGTGGATATATAATTTGTTGTCTTTTTACAATTATGAAGTGGAATAGGTGTTTAAACCTCAGGTAGTCAATGCTTTTCTTCCTAAACTAAGTAGCAACTCTCTCTCTCTCACGCTCTTGCACATACACCAATGCTCATATCACATATCTTTCGTCAGTCATGGCAATTATGGATATAGTTTCATGTATTCTCTATTGGATTGTGCTAATGTTTGCCCAATAATTTGACAATTTTTCTCTAAAGCCTAATAATTTATCAAATAGTAGTGTAGGAACCAACCACCAAATAGTAGTAAAGGAATCAACCCCCACAAAATTATTTGAGTACGTTAAACCAATAAGGCATCCAATAATTTGCACACAACTTAGTGACAGGCATTCACCACTCATGCATCAATATCCCAACCTCTAAAAAAATTCTCATTTAACAATAACCTGTAATAGCTTGAGCGAAACATACAACTACACATTCACAATTCATGCATCCATATACAACCATATATAAAACCAGCCCATTCAAGAATAAAATGTAATAGCTTGAATACAACTTAGTAACATACATTCACCACTCATGCATCCATATCGTAACCTCAAAAAAAATCTCATTCAACAATTTTGATATTGTACATAGAAACACACATCCACAATTCATGCATCCATATACAACCATTTACAAAACCAGCCCATTCAACAATAACCTATAATAACTTCAATAAAATTTCGTGACATACATTCACCACTCATGCATCCATATCCCAACCTCAAAAAAAAATCTCATTCAACAATAACCTAATAGCTTGAGCACAACATAAAAACACACATTCACAATTCATGCATTCATATACAACCATATACAAAACTAGCCCATTCAACAATAACATGTAATAGCTTGAACACAACTTAGTGACATACATTCACCACTTATGCATCTATATCCAAACCTCAAAAAAAAAATCTCATTCAACAATTACCTGTAATAGCTTGAGCAAAACATACAAACATACATACAAACTTCATCCATCCATATACAACTAGTAAGAAACCAGTCCATTCAATAATAACCTATAATAACTTGAATACACCTTAGTGACATACATTCACCACTAATGCATTGGTACTTGTCCCATATTGTTCCCAACATTAAAAAGAAAAAAGACAACAATTAGATCTATAATAAAATCAAAGACTGGATGCCTAGGAAGATAGTTTTAAAATGCCGAGATGCCTTTAAGAAGACATCAATACGTATTTCTTCCCCTTCCACATGGGTTCAGTCTGAACCATCCCTGTTTCAGTGCCAAATATATTCTCCAATTCGTTGAAGTATACAGGCAAAGACTTGCCTATGTATTTTTTCACAAAACTAAACTTCTATAAATAGAACACACGTATGTATTGAATTTATGTGAACATCGCACTTAAAGTTGCAAATCTACAAAGAAATAGACAACAATGCGTTTCAACTCACCGTTGTAAATTGAGCCCACAAGGCTGGGTTTGGCAGTCACCATTCGACTAGCCTCATCCCAACCAAAACCTGGTTGTCTCATAAGTTGTTCTACTTCTATACACATTGACACAAACTGCTTGAACTTACTCTTCAACCGTTCCAAGTCATAAAAGTTCCCATAATTGCTTATCATGTACTCTATCAATCGGCTCCATGCACCTTTCTTGAGCCCCCCCCCCCCCCCATTAAAAAGAAAAAAGACAACAATTAGATCTATAATAAAAGCAAAGAGTGGATGCCTAGGAAGATAGTTTTAAAATGCCGAGATGCCTTTAGGAAGACATCAACACCTATTTCTTCCCCTTCCACATGGGTTCAGTCTCAACCATCCCTGTTTCACTGCCAAATATATTCTCCAATTCGTTGAAGTATACAGGCAAAGACTTGCCCATGTATTTTTTCACAAAACTAAACTCCTATAAATAGAACACACGTATGTATTGAATTTATGTGAACATCGCACTTAAAGTTGCAAATCTACAAAGAAATAGTCAACAATGCGTTTCAACTCACCGTAGTAAATTGAGCCCATGGGGCCGGTTTGGCAGTCACCATTCGACTAGCCTCATCCCAGCCAAAACCTGGTTGTCTCATAAGTTGTTCTACTTCTATACACATTGACACAAACTGCTTGAACTTACTCTTCAACCGTTCCAAGTCATAAAAGTTCCCATAATTGCTTACCATGTACTCTATCAATCGGCTCCATGTACCTTTCTTAACCCCCCCCCCCCCTTTCTTGACCTCTTTCAACAAGAGATCAACAAATTGGGCCCTCCTCTTTAGGGTTCCACTGGCTCACATTGTTATGATAATCTTTAGCAGTTATAATAAAAGCCTCGATCCTTTCTTTAGTAGGTCAATTGGTATTAAGCCGATGCATGTCAACCAACAACACACTCCTCAATAAGAACAACCATATACAACCAGTAAAAAACATCTATGATATACGTTGATCATAGTTGAGATGCTTTCAATGCTAGACAAAATCACCTTACCAAACAATAATAACTTGTAATAGCTTGAGCGAAACATACAACCACACATTCACAATTCAGGCATCCATATACAATCATATACAAAACCAGCCCATTAAACAATAACCTGTAATACATTGAACACAACTTAGTGACGTACATTCACCACTCATGCATCCATATCCCAACCTCAAAAAGAAATCTCATTCAACAATAACTTGTAATAGCTTGATATTGTACATAAAAACACACATTCACAATTCATGCATCCATATACAACCATATACAAAACCAACCCGTTCAACAATAACATTTAATAGCTTAAACATACAAAATTGAAAATGCAATAGAATGAAGATAACTTAGTGACATACATTAACCACTCATGCATCTATATACAACCAGTAAGAAACCAACCCATTCAATAATAACATGTAGAAGCTTAAACATGCAAAATTGAAATTGCAATAGAATGAACATACTTAGTGACATACATTCATCACTCATGCATCCATATACAACCAATAAAAACCATCGCATTCAACAATAACCTATAATAGCTTGAACACAACTTAGTGACATACATTCACCACTCATGTATCCATATCCCAACCTTTAAAAAAACATATCATTCAACATTAACCTGTAATATTGAGATAGCATAATTAGAATGGTTCCAAAGTTGTCTAATATGTTCTCATCTTAAATTTTAAAAAGAAAAAAGACAACTATTACCACTACAATAAAAGCAACGATTTTGCACATGCAATAGTTATTGTTATTAACTACTACTGCATTGGTGCTTCGCCCAAATTGATCAATCTCGTGGCCATCGAAATATTGTTGGGTAATGCAATCATATGTGCTTGAGAATAATGTGTAAGATAATGTGAAAAGAGAATAACATTATTTCAATGGGCAATAAACATAGCCTCACCATCAGGAAGGGCCAACCGACCATCTTGCCTACTAATCGCATTATACAAGACTTTAGAGTTTGATGCATAACCCTCCCATCCAGCAAGTACGTACTGGAACCGTATGTCAAACCCAAATGCAGCCATAACATTTTTGGCTTATGAAACCTTTCCTATTTCGAAAGTGTTTATGCAAGATACTTCTAACGTGCGCTGGGATTATATGTCTCCTCAATAGCTCCTACACAATCCTATTAGAAATTCAATGACAAGAGCATTATAAGAAGCATTATATATATCTGTACCTACTTATAAATGACTCAATATTAGGAAATATGGATATAATCTCTCCCTTTGGAAATAGAAACAGGGATTTCAATTGATCGACTGCCAATAATACTTTGTGGAAATAGAAACTTATAGTTTGACTAGAGTCTTGGAAGCGTTCTCGGACCACCTTATTTCACTGATCATGTGTTGGGGTGCTTAAGAATATTGCTACTTGCTCCTCAACCAACAAGTATTTAGTGTCCGTAGTAAGTGACCCTTGCTTTAGAATATTAAAAAGATCAATAAAGGCAACCTTCTCCATCCGCAACTTATTGAAGCACTCTCGAGGATGCCCTGTAAGTAAGTACTCGACATACTTTGCCCACATACTTTGCCCCCGTTAGGTTTACGGAATGTACCCACTGCCGTCTCACTTGGTTATTCATATACCAATATGTCGAGCACCACATAACAAATAGGATAGTAAAGATCACATAGTACTCCTCGCCTTGGGGGTCCATAGCTACATGAAATAGGGTTATTTTTCATTCAATATTATTCTAATAGTAAATGAAATAATGAAACAAATGTATTTCCAAAATTGAGAGATCATTTGTTTATGGTCATAAAGAAACTGCCATCATACAGGATGCAACAATCCAAAACTAAAAAAATTCTAAACTAAACAAAGAATTTACATAAACCACCAATAAAGTACTTAAAGCAATTGTCATCCATAAACCATCAATAAAGTAATCAAAGTAATTGTCATCTATAGAGCATCTATAAAGAAAGTTTTTGTCATACATAAACCATTCAAAAAAGAAAGTAATTATCATCCATCAACTATCTATAAAATCTCAACATAATTGAAGTGAAATTGTTCTTCCAACAAAAAAAAGAAAATTGTTCTGCCACTATAAAACACCATCCATAAACACAAAAAAGGATATTGTTTTGCCACCATAAAACACCATCCATAAACAAAAAAAAAGGATATTGTTCTGCCACCATAAAGCACCATCCATAAACAAAAAAAAAGGATATTGTTCTGCCACCATAAAGCACCATCCATAAACAAAAAAATGATAGTGTTCTGCCACTACACATGCACCATCCATAAACAAAAAAAAGGAAATTGTTCTGAACTATAAAGCACTATGGTGTAAGCTCATAATAAGAGCAGCGTCTCATCCTCCATAAAGGTCATGCGGAGTTCTGGGTCATTGATGCCCAAGAAAAAATCAATATTCTTGAGATCTCGAAATACTTGCTTTGACTTTAAGAAGACTTGAACAGTAATATCGCCATGCTTGTTCATGGTTTAGGCCATCTACATGCATTGCTCCTTACGCTTCATTCACCAGTCATCAGCAACCAATTGAAGATCCTCCTTGGCCTTGCTAGTAATCCAGTCCTTGAATGTAGATACCATCGTGGTCATGGCTTCTACTATGACCTCATTGGTCGTATGTTAGTTTTTTCTTTTCTCCATGCCCATTGGATTTTGCAAGCGACGCCTCTTTGATCTAGAGGACATTGCAGCATCGGAAGAGGATGAACCAGAGTCCTCCTCAACATCCATCACTTCTCGCAGCACTGATATGGTGGTATCAATTGGAGGTCTGCCAACACCATCCATGTTAGTCCATTAGGGGTGTTCTTTGAGGCCACCTCTTTTGAAGTAAGGCCACCTCCCACTCCAGAAAACACGTCATTAAATGTGCCTTCGCTGAATATCTTCTCCAAATTGTTGAAGTATTCGGGCACAACCTTCTTATGATACTTCTTAGCCCAATCATTCGCTTGTAAGTAGATTGCAAATATTCATATGCCATTGCATTAATACATACATAAGCATAGAGAAATACATTCAACAACAATGGCACTTTACTTTACTCACCGTTATGAATTGGGACCATAACTCAGGTTCCGCTTGCACCATTCTGATACTCTCGTCATAACTCCAACCCGATTGATCAAGAAGTTTATTTACTTTCTCGTGACTCTCCAAGAACCACTTCGTCTTACTCTTGGGTCTATCTACATCATACAAGTCACCAAACTGCTATCTCATCGCCTCTGACATTTGGGACCATGCAGCCTTCCGCAAGGCCCCACCTTTCATGACGTCTAGTACTAAGAGCTCAATGAAGTGAGACTCTGCTTCGAGGTCTATTGTGAAATTTTTCTAATACCTTATCCTTATTAGCTAATATAGTACCACTGTTAACACTAACACTTGCACAAGAGAAATTTCGCTCTATACCTTTAAATAGAAACGAACCTTAATAAGAATAAACAAACCTATAATTGCGTTAGCACTAACAAAATAGGAGTTTTTTTCTATATATGTCTTCATTAATAAGAATTTTATAACTTAAACCCTATCAATCATAGGAAGTCCACTCTCTCAATCCATATCAGAGATGGATTTTGGATCACAATTTTGCTGGTCCAACAATTAGCAACCACAATCAAGAATACAAAATAGTATAAATAAATAAAACTCCTTAAATCATAAGAGCTGCACTATTTTTGTGGCTTCATATTCATGGATATGAGGCAAAAATGGCATTACAATGATTTGTAATGTGATTTGGATTGTAATATCCTTTGACAATTTCGAAAATATGATGGACACATGAGTTAGCCAACTCAACAAAATACTTTTCTTATAAAAAAAAGACTAAGTTTATATTTGTAAAAGCATGAAAAATGAAGTCAACAGACATCCAGCACAAAGGAAAACACATTTTATATATTGCAGAGAAAATGTATACATTTATTAAGGCCAACATATAGGTATAAAATCAAATGCATTTCGAAAATAGAGAGAGAGAGAGAGAGAGAGAGAGAAGTCATGTTATTTATATATA